CCCCTTGGTGGTTTATCCAAATTATCCACATCCAAGTGTGACTGTCTTTTGCCCTAATTTACTCACATATCTAACACTTTGTAGAAGCGGTGCAAAAGGTTTGGTATTGCTTTGATATATTCGTTTGTTGCATCGGTGCTTGAGTTAATATCCATTGAATTCTTGGGTTTTCGAGGGGTCTAACCCCTTGGTGGTTTATCCAAATTATCCACATCCAAGTGTGACAATTTTTTGCCCTAATTTACTCACATATCTAACACTTTGTAGAAGCGGTCCAAAAGGTTTGGTATTGCTTTCATATATTCGTCTGTTGCATCGACCATCAGGGTAAGGTCATTTGCAAAGAGCGAGCAGATCGAGATGGCGACTGTTATGATAAATGTGATTTTCATTTTCTGAATGTCTTTGAATCTTTGTTAGCATGCAAGTTTGAATGTTTGTTGGTCAATGCTTTTGCTAGTCGATTCCGTGATATTTCTCAAAATTCTTTGGAGAGGCCAACAACCCTAAGTGTTTTGTCTTCCTCCATCTCCATTAGGATTGTCCATATCTCTTTCCTGTTCATGAATTTTTTCATATTGCCTAGTGCGGACACTCGGGGAACGCATCCCTAAGTGCTTGTATTTCTTTGTTTTTATGTGTGTGTGTGTGTGTGTGTGTGTGTGTGTGTGTGAGAGAGAGAGAGAGAGAGAGAGAGAGAGAGAGAGAGGGAATGAATACCACAATGGTTGTGGTGCCAGACTAAAAAGAAATAAAAAGGTGGTGCTGGTAGTAGTTTGGCAAAGATTGGCTCGCACAACGTCAATAGTTAGCAATTACCGCGATTGTTTATTTCACTGTTATCTGTTGAAATGTTTTTTTTTAATTTTTTTTTTATTTCCCCCCTGGAAAGATCACAACGAAATCGACGGGCCCTAAAATTTTCAGATTTCTTCACGTATTGATTTGAGCGCGAAAAATCAATAAAAAATAAATAATGGAGTAACTTTTATTTTGGCGAAATTGATGCTTGCTACTTCTCCCCCCGTGGTGCTATAGAGGTTGGTCCGAGTAACTCTCCGTAGTACCTGTTGTGCGGATGCCTCCTGTCTGTTAGTGGGGAACTGCACTTGCTGGAAGTCGGGTCTAAGCATCTCATTGATACACAATAAATACAAGAATGCTATGCATCTTTACCGGGGCCAGTATCCGACTTCGGCTAAGAAACGAACTATGAGGATCAGGAAAGCGTTATTGTTTCTCCTGGAGGCATCGGTGAAAAGCACATGCTCCCTTTTTCTTGTTGTTTGAACTTAGATAAGAAGATGAGAGAAGATTGGAGGTTGCAGCCAACGAGTCATTCTTTGTGACAAACAACTTGACTACTTTAAGGTTAAATGTTGAGATCAAGCAACGGACTCGCTCCAAGAGCCTTCATTGGGTCTAAGACGTCAATCTGACCTTCTTTGTACTCAGGCCCCGACACCGTGTGGTCCTCAAATCCTGACCTCCATGGTGCGAAATCACTTTCCTCACTAATCCGTTGGATGTGACGTATTGCCATAATTATTTCGGGTTCAAGCATGACCGCAACCATATATTCGTCAGACCCGATTTCAACTGCCATGGGGGCCACCATTTCTGTCATCTCAGTATTAAGAACGACAACCACCCTTCCTTGAAAGACGACATTTAGTGTCGCCAATGGAATCTGGGAGACCCCGTTCGATCCTAATTGAGTATGAGGCTTTAGACAATCTTTAACAAGGTGGCCCGCCCGATTACAGTCATAGCACCATATGGGCTGAGCGGTCGCTGCACTGTGCACTGCTAGGCCGTCTGCTGCTGCTCCATAGCAGTGCGTCCTGTTGTTAAACCTAGCCGCATTTGCTGCTGCAGCGGTTGTTGAAACTTATTGCGGATTGTTGCGCTGTTTGTTACGGAAAACGGAAGTTAGGCATAGAAGGTGAAGTCGAAGCTTGCGGAGGGGGTCATTGCTGCAGACTGAGAAACCGTTTGAGGGATTGACTTCGGCGGTTGGACTTCAGGTTTGACCAAGTTGTTGATTGTTTGGCGATCATTGCGGGGCCCTCAGGCGAATTAAGGCAACATGACCCTCTCCTGGGAGTTGAGTTTGTCCCCTTCTTGTATCTCGAGAGTCTCAGACCCCTTATTCTGCCTTTCTTACTCTAGGTTTAGTCCTGATATGAGAGGAAGGCGGCAAGCGGGATTGCAACCCGTAGGACCATAGCAAGGTCTGCGTGGGAGGTTACCCCACCGATTGTGGGAGCTCTGCCGGAACTCAGGAGAAGTTCTGGAGGCAAGGAACTGAGAGGTAACCACCCATCTCCCTCTATAAACCCAGTTTATAGCCCATATCTGTATTACCCATTGCATGTCTGACTGAGTATATGGTATGCAACTCTACTTTGACTTGTTGTTTGACTGTCAGGACATGAATCAGATAAAGTAAAGGAATGCATGCAAATCTCAATTTCAGTTTTGTTGATTGATTCAAAGCAGATTGTAAAAAGAGATTGCATCTGGGAAAGGACCGGATGAGAAACAGTTTTTGCGTGAGGTTTGACTAAGTCATTGAGGTTGGGAAGTCCCCATAAGTTTGGGGAGACCCATTGCCTTATTTATTTTGGATTGTGTGGAGCATCAAACCATTCTATAGGTTTAGGTGGTCTGATTGCTCTGGAGGCTAGGAAGTCCCCATAAGTTTGGGGAGACCTAGTGCTGTGGATTTGCATTGAGAATCAGATCATTCCATAAGTTTAGGTGATCTGGTTGCTCTAACTTGCGAGGGCTAATTGTGATTGACCTTTTCAGGGACCAAGTGCATTCTGTAAGTTCAGGTGCTTTGGTTGCCTTGTTTATTTTGGGTTTTTCTCTGTTTATTTGGTTCTCAACGAGGGGGTCTGAGCCATTCTATAAGTTTAGGGGGCTCAGCCTCTTCCTGCTTTTATTTTGAGATAATGAATTTGACAGAGGAAAAATCATTCTATAAGTTCAGGTGATTTAGCCCAATGTCTCGCACAAGTTGGGCCAGAGAGGGACGAATCAGGTAGAGAGCCAGACTGTTCTGTAAGTTCAGGTGGTCTGACTCAAAGTCTCGCACATGCTGGAACCCAAAGGTCATAATTTGGCTATATTTTATTACTATTTTATTTAAGAACAGGCTAGTCAAACTATTCTATAAGTTTAGGTGGTCTGACTATAGCTTATCACAATACTGAAAAGAGTATAATTAAGAGTATAATTGATGGTAAGATGGGGCAGGCTGAACTTAAGTGAGTTCAGTCCTATGCAGCTTTATAAGACAAAGGGGGGACATATATAATCTGAATATCCTAAACAGTTCAGGGCGACTAGAATGGTCTTGTCATATGCCCAAAGAAGAGAAAAGTAGTTGTGCCCTCTGTTCTGTGTATACTCTTTGGCTAAGTTAGGCTCATTCCATAAGTTTGGGTGGCCTGACTTTATGCCTGGCTAAGTAAGGCACATTCCATAAGTTTGGGTGGCTCCCTATGCCTTATGTAAGCTGGGTATAACGGGTTAAATCATTGAAAGATCATGAACTATTGTCTGTTCAGATAAACTTGGGATGGTGAGAGTACTTACCTTTGTGGTTTGGCCTGCATGTGAATAAGTAAGACCACTACTTAGTCCGAGTTTCAGTTTGATAGGTAGTTGCTTTAGCTGTTCGCCCACTCACTATTTTGTTTTTTTTCACTTTGAACTTTTTGTTTTCACTTTATTTCGGGGCCTAAAATATTTTATTATTTTTTTAATTTTTTTTAATGAGTTATTGATTATAGAAACTACATATTTGTAAATTTTCAGGGCATTTGTCAATGCCAAAAAATAATTAAAAATCAGCAAAGATGACGGTGTCGAAAAGGTGTTGGCACACTCACTCATTTTAATTCTTTTTTTTTTTTTTTTTTTCATCATAGT